CATCGACGAACAACCTTGCGGTTTGTTCGCCCGTAACAGTGACGGGAACTGGAGCAAGATGTACCATCTTGCTCAGCCGACACACGAACACCAAAATTCCGGTGTTGCCGTGTCCGTCGGCGGGAAGCCCAAAGATGAAGTCAAGACTCGTCGACTTCCAACAGTCAGCCGGTACGGGCAGGATCTGTAGTGGAGCCGACGAGTGCCCTGCGAGTTTGACCCGCTGACATGTTTCGCATGTCTTAACGTACCGGGCGACCCACTTGTACATGTGGGTCCGCCAGAAGGACTGAGAGATCGACAGAAAGGTCTTCTCGCGGCCCAAGTGGCCGCTGGAGGGCGCGTCGTGCGCCTCCGCAAGGATGTCGAGCTTCAGATTCTCGTCGTTGGGTACGACCACCCGTGGGGGCTCATTGGGCTCCATCCGGTAATAGAGGAGGCCATCCTTCAACTCACATCGGTGGAGCCGGGAGCGCTGTCGCGACGAAAGCCAGTCGGACTTCGCGCTCATTCCTGCCGTGAGGAACTTGACGATAGGCGCGACAGCCTCATCGACCCGATACGCCATGCGTATCCGATCATATAGATCCGTTGTCACCCGTGTGATATGGGCCAACTCATAGTCAGGACGCCGAGAGAGGGCGTCCGCAAGCACGTTGAGCTTGCCCGGCTTGTACTCGACGCGGAAGCTGAATTCCGCGAAGAAGGACAGCCACCTCGCCATCCTTTGGGTGAAGTGAGGCGAGTTAGTCGCCGTCCTCAAGGACGCGTGGTCTGTGTAGATCACGAAGGGCCTCGAGCCCAGAAGGTGAACACGAAACTTCCCAAGGGCATATTTCATTGCCAGGAGCTCCTTGTCGTGGACAGGGTAGTTCAGCTCGGCTGCTTTGAGCTGCCTGGACTGGAACGAGATGACTCGTTCGCGTCCGGCCGTCTCGGCCTGCAGCAATGCACACCCGATGTCGTAGTCGGAGGCATCGCAGACGACGCTAAACAGCTTCGTCTCGTCCGGCAAGGCCAGGCCAGGGGCCTCTTGAAAACTGGCCTTGATGCTGTCAAAGGCATCCTGGTGCTCTTGCTCCCAGTGCCAGTCGACGTCCTTTTAAAGGAGGCCCGACAAGGGCTTAGCAAAGCCCGCGTACCCTGCACTGTACTTGATAAGGTAGTGGGCCAAACCCAACTACTTTCGAAGATTTTTCTGGGATCGGGGCGTTGGCCATGCTGCTAAGGCCTTGACCTTGTCTGGGTCAGCCCGAGCACCTACGTTGCTTACGAAGCAACCGAGAACTTTAATCTCTGGTGACGCGAAAACGCACTTGTCGATGTTGGCGTAGAGCTTGTTTGCTCGCAGTACGTCCAACACTCGACGGAGGTGTCCTAGATGCACCTCCATGGCCGTCTTGCCTCCCTCGGCACGGCTATGGACGAAGATGTCGTCGAAGTACGTCTGTACGAAGGTACGCAAAGGGCGGAACAATAGCGTCACCAGGTCGCCGGGGCGTTAGACAAGCCCTGCGGCATGACGAGCCGCTCCCAGAGCATGCCGCTTGGAGTTCTCACCGCGGTGAGTGGGATGTCACTCTCTCGCATCAGGATCTGGTAGTATCCGTCAACCAAATCCAGCGCACTGTACAGTACGCTACCGGCCATGTTGTTTAACAACACATCCTTTCGTGGGATTGGTGTTTGGGCCGGCACCGCTGCGTTGTTCAGCTTGTTATAAGCGTGAACCAGACGCCACTTTCCGTTCGGCTTCCGAACGCAGAAAGTTGACGTCGAGTGCGGGGATTTCAACTCCCACACCATGCCTGCCTTCGCTTTCGCGGCGAAGAAGGCATCAATGACCTCGCACTGTTCGCGCGGGAGAGGCCATTGCCTCGTGACACAGAACTTTGTGCCAGGAACGAGATCAATCTCATGCCGTACACCTCGATCTGGTGGGAGTTGGGTCGGTGGGTGTTTGTTCACCACGTCCGCATACTCCGTCACCAAAGCATACACCGAATCCGTGGGGTTCTTAAGGATCTCAGAACCCAAGCGCGTCTGACGCTGCTTGTTTAGGTCTTCTAGGACGTTCTCACCAAGACAGAGGAGGTGTTCAGCTCCTCCCGAGCGGTCTCAGGTCTCATGAGTACCATCTCAGCAATCTCTCCAGCCTTGATATTGGTCAGGAAAGACTCAGCCGTCATTTCCTCGAGGTGCAGTATCTCTGCAACCTCGGACAACGGTTCCAAGTGGACACCAGATGCCTTGACGGGTAAACCGGTCTCGCCATCGAAGATGTGATAACACTCTTTCACCGGCCTTGTCGGAGGAACCCGGGCCCTGGATTCCAAGTCGCTTGAAGCGACGTCGATCGGAACGAAGTTCGGATCCGACTTGAGGCGGCGGCGGCGTCGTTGACGACGGCGACCGTGACGTCGAGCTTTGCTGCCCACGTCTAGGAATGTCGGCGCTACGACATCCGAGGCACTCGTGGCCTCTAGTGGCACCGTGGCACCCACACAGGAAGCGTGTTCGACGCCTTCCTCTTCAGTTAAGGTCTGGGCGACCGTGAGTGGAACTCTGTTACCCACTCCGAACACGCTGTTCTCAGTGTTCGTGACAGCTGCAGCTGTCTGCGGAACTAAGTTACCCGCCTGTGGACCTAAGTTACCCACTTGGCCAGCGCCTCTTCTGGGCGCTGCCACCATCAAAGCATCCTCGGAGTCGTCATATATGTCGACGACTTTCAAGCACTGCCGGATGCTTTGGTACCCAGGCAGCCCTTGCGGGCGCCCCGGGTCCTGACAGGGGTGGGAGCAGGACTCACCAGTGCTCTGGCGGACTGAGCAGGGCGGCTGGCACCGATTGCCTTGCCTGGCCAGTCGATCCAGGGCTCGTGCTTTTCAAGCCAGGGCATGCCCAGGATCCTATCATTTGGACCCGAGCTCAATGGGAACTGGTCCGTTGGGGCTTGTTCGACCGGGAGCCGACAAGGAAATCCCAGGCCATGCTGAGGCCGGCGTACGCGCCTGGCGATGACCGTACTCTTCTTGAAGAGCCACTTGAATCGCCTCTTCAAGGGTGCTTGACTGCACCCGGAGCAGCTGAGTGCGTGCGGGGCCCACTCGAAGGCCGTCCATGAACTCAGTCGTCTTGATGTGTTCGTTGAGTGGGTTTCTCACTAGGGACGCCGTGAGCTCCCGTATCTCTTGCACATACTCGTGCCGTTCGCGCCTCCCTTGTTTACACGAGAGGAAGCGCGAACGCTGGCGGTACTCGTAGCTTGCCGGGAGGAACGCGGCTCGGAGCTGTTCACACAGCTGAGCCCAGGAGGTGAAACATCCAGGGGACGTTGCTTCCCGTGTGTACACCCAACTCTTAGCACGGCCGCTAAGGTTGGAGAGTGCAAAGGAACACGAAGTAGCTCGGTCGAGATCAGAGCCGCGTCCATCGCGAGCCCTACTTCTCGGAACCAGAAGTGAAGGCTCTCGCCTTCCTTCCCTTTCATACGGCTTAACCTTCAGCCGTATTGGCTTCGGGTGAGGCGGATTTGCTTCCGGAGCCTGCAGGTTCTCCCGCACATGCGCGATGAGGCCCTGCTCGTACGAGTCGAGCGTATTGACGCGCTCGAGCTGCTCAGCCGGTGTTGACACCACCAGGCTCTGCAGGGCCTCTATCTCGAAGATGCCTGCCATCTTCCGAACCGACTCGAACTGAGAGTCGTTCATATGGGAGAAGTCGTTCCTGTCCATGGCAACGAACTTCGGAGAGGTTCAGGTAGTCTACCCGCGGTGGCGTGGATTGACTACTAGTGCTACCAAGTGTGACGGGGTCACACAGCACCTTGTGCTAGAGGAAGTTATCTTCCGAGATTATACAAACTCTCAGTGAGCGGCAGTTCACAGGCCCCCTCTTTATTTAAAAGAGAGCGAAGTGACCTAAATAAGGTAGATTGTAAACTGAGTATATTTATAGGTAGATAAAGTTTGGGTTTAATACAAACTATAAGTTACCTATAGAAATGCAATGTCGTTTGACCAATGGTTGGCTGTGAACGACCTTGGTACCTTGTACCAAATATCCCGAAGTATGACGTGTCATACACCTGAAGTGTGAAGTGTCACACTTCATGTAACCAGGGTACACTTGGGCTACGTACTCCGTTACAGTCTAGCACACGCCGCTTGCGAAATGGCTTCCAGCAGATAAATTGTTGCATGTGCTCATTATTAAGAAGGGTTATAGACACTTAGGAGGGTGAAGGACGTGATATTGGTATGATCCTGCCGCCGACGAAGCCCGCGCGCGGCTTTTGCAATCTTGTAATTCTTGTTGGAGTACAATCTTTCAAAATGCCATTGTAGAGGGAAAACGCCAATGGCAGTTTTATGATTGGAACCGCGATATTTTCGATATTGCCAGGGGCTCCAATTTATTCTTACTCGTTACCGTACTGCACCGAAGAACTTTCAGAGCATTTTTCAGATTCTCGACAACCGATTCGACTATAAGAACCGAGACACTGTAACAGTAGTGCTGGGAACTTGTTCAAAATTACCGTATTCCTTATGTGATTGGCGACAGTCAAATTCTTGAGGTGGTCCAGCCTTTCTGCCAGCATAAAAGATACCTGCATAAAAAAGCTATATAACATGCTAAAATTATATTGGTCGCCAAGCACATAAAGCGCGACGACACGAAATTTAAATCAATTTGATTGGCTGCTGGATTTGTCGCTAATGACCGAGCGTCGCCAATCACATAAGGAATTATCATCGTCTTGAAAGGGTATTACAGTACTGCACCCCGTTTTCGCGGGGATGGACCATATCGGATTTGCAAATAGATCATACTTTAGCTTATAAACAATTGTTGATTTGGCTTCAGGATCATCACATCCTGAAGTTTATCAAAGGTCCAAGGGCGGTATTGGGTGCAGCAAATGAGAGGCCCCCACCACTAAACACCATTGGCCACGGCTCCTTATTAATCGAAAATGAATATATATTTCGAACGTTTCCAGCTGTATACTTCCCACGTGTCAACCTTCTTAAAAAGGGAATGCATCCTCGAGTCGCTTCAAGAAAATAGTGTCCTTGAACGGCACTTCGTCCTTGTTCGTGAGCCACACGTTACCGTCGAGAGTGTCACTGTTCAGCGTATCACGAGCTGCTACGGTCATCTGGTCCCAAGTGATAAGATCCTGAGTTTCTCCGGTCTCCTTGGTAAGCTGCAGAGCCGCCTTGCTTCCTAGAAAACTGAAATACGAGTCAAGTTTGACACTCGATCCGTGAATGTACTTGAGCATCGGGGGAGTAGCCTTGGCGTGACCGACACCCGCAGACATGGACACGCCCTGGATTGATGAGCTGGTAGACGTAGAGCTGTCTGCCCAGACGACGACGTACTCCCAGTAATGACGGTGGCCAGTGAGCCCATAGCGGCCTTTGGGGAAGTACCAAGCGTACATGATGGCCCACTTGTTCTTGTACCAATCCGAACGAGAGTACACTTGTGAGCCCAGTGGGGAGCCCGTGCAGTCTCCATCAGCAGGTCCAGACCATTCGAGACCGCCACTAGCAGAGCCGTTGGGCTCGACAGCAGGGTACGGGTGACATCCATACGATATGTGAAGCTGGGGTTTGTACTTGACAGCAGACTTCTGTGAGTCGGTGATCGGTAGCGGCTGGGTGAACGGCTGCACTTCATCGTGGTTGTCTCGGCTGACTTTAGCATTGGCTACAGCTAGGGAAGCGACGGCGGCGATGAGGAAGGCGCGGAGGTTCATCTTAGTGGAAGACGACTTCGACTATGAAAAAAAAACAAGTGATCGAGACTTCGAAGGCGGCAGATTCAATAGTGAGAAGTATGCTGTCGATACAATACATGTATTTTCCGGACACGATACGCTGTGCAAGACCCAAGCGCAGCTTGACAAGCTGTATGAGAATCTGTGTTTCACTCACCGTCTCAGGCTGATTTTGCAGACTGGGTCTGCAAAACATACTTTCCGTCGGTCTGCTCCTTGTGTAATGGAAACCGTGCACATGTATCTGATCGGCCTGGTCAGACTTGCCTTCGCAAAGATTCACAAGTCAGTGATTTGAAATCACAGCTCCCGTGCTCTCCACAACCCGCAACTGAAGATAGTGGCCGAAATATGTGAACATAATAGGCATCGTAATACCCAGGGCCTCCGATTATGGCATTTTTATAAATGAGAATAAAACTCCGCAATAAATTATCTGATGAAGTGTAAATCGGTACTAGTAGTTCAATAAATAATGGTTTTGCTCCATCAACCGAAATACATACAGTAAGTAGATCATGCCATTATGGATTTAATTTATAAGATTCAAGCGCTCCCAGACTAACCTCGTCAAAAGCCAAGACTCGCTGTTGGTGTAAAGAATACCTTGCATCTTTCTTTCCCGTGTCAGGTGATCTGATTACTGGGAAGCCTAAAACGAGAATTATTACCATAAAAATCGGCTACTGTAGTGCGACAAACGGGCTTAGTTCATTGAAATCAAACTGCATTTTTTTTCATTAATCGGCAGAATCTTCAGTACTACTATTAACAACGAAGATTTATAGCACTCATGTCCGCAGTTACGACTGGATCTTCGTAGCGCTCGAGGCAGGGAGAATGACCGTCTGCATCGAGTGCGCCGGCAGCTGGAGCGTGAAGGTCTTGGCGTCAGTCTGCTTGACACTGACCGTGACGTCCGAGTTATCGCGGTTCAAGAACTGCAGCACCACGTTCTTGTCTGGCGTCACAAACGCCGTGCGGGGGAAGTTACTGAGCGTCTTGGACTTGGGGAAGTCGACGCGACGCGAGCCAGCAGGGACGAACTTGGACAAGTGGCCCATGACGTAGAACATCGGCTGCTTGTAGAACTCGGCGCCGCCCTCTTCGTCCACCAGGATGGGCGCGTCCACGAAGTTCTCGGCCCAGTTGGGGCCTCCCGCGGTATCCAGAGCCAAGTTCCAGTCGGTCCAGCCGACCACAAAGTTGTTGACGTCCTCGATGATGTCGCGGCCGTAATTCTCCGCACGAGACCAGCTCTTGTCCTCGTCCTTCAGAGACGGACCGGAGCCGGTGCCTAACCAGCTCGGAAGGAATCCCTCGCACGCCTCGGTGGCGAGCATGAAGACATTGGGGAATTTATTATGGAACGTCAAGAGTTTGTCAAAGTCTCCGCCGATGCCGAAGAAGAAAAAGTCCAAGTTGCGGTACCAGTGGACGCCCAGTCCGCTGATGTACTGGAGCGACTCTGGGTCTTGGAACGGCGCCAGTTCGTCCAAGATGCCTGACTTCTGGTCATCGCCTGCAATGATCTTGAGGTCAGGGTGGCTCTGGGCCATAGTGGGACCCAGATCCAGCTTGACAAAGTCACGTTGCACCTCGGCAGACATCCGCAGCGACTGCCACGCCGACGTCTGGAGAATGGACTTGGTGGGCTCGTTCTGCACCGTCATGGCCCAGAACTCGATGCCCTCCGTCTTGTACGCGTCGAAAAACTTGGAATAGTACAGAGCCAGCGACTTCCAGTACGCCTCACCGGGTTTGCCCTTGACTGCGCAGTTGATCGTCGTGTTCTCTGTCGTCATCCAGGCAGGAGGAGCCCACGAAGACGCGTACAGCTTGACATCACGCGTGGACGTGCGGAGAGCGCGTTGGATCAAGTCAATCTTGTTCGACGTTCGATCCACGTCGATAGAGAACTTGGCCTGCGCGAGATCCCCCGGGTTGTCGTTGTACGAGTAGATGCTCGTCGAAAAGTCCGTGGAGCCGATAGTCACGCGTCCTAGAGAGTACTGTAGCCCCTTGTCCGAGTAGTACTGGTCCAGTACCATCTGCTGTAGCGTGGACGACAGCTTGTACACGTTAATAGCAGCTGCATCCGTGAAGGAGCCCCCAAAGCCCACCATCGTCTGGTACTGCGTAGACACATCGACCGTGAACGTGGGGTTACTGGCAGCCGTCGCGTCGACATTGACGACCTTGTACGCGAAGCGGTCGCCAGCCTTGGACGACGTGTACACGCCGACTTGTCCCGCAGTCAGTGTCTTGTAGTCATTCGAGACGGTGTCGCATTGAGTGGCGTTGCAGACGCAGACGCCCTTGAGGTTGGTCTGGTAGCGGCTAGACCAGCTACTGCAGGCAGCAAAAGCCTCTTGAGACGCCAGCAGCAGGCCTACTAACGCACTCAGCGTGAAGGGCCCAAGCATGCTGGGTGATGAATACGATGAAAGAGGTAGCTGACAAAATCGAAAGTGCCCGTTAAAAAGATAGCGTGTATGAAACGCATCCCTTAATGTTGTGCCGCCACGTGATACTGTCGTTACCGCAACCATAATATGCGACATTTAAGGTTGCTATAACTCAGTTATGGCTGCTATACCAGAATTCAAAAAAACTCTTAGCGAAAGATAAATCCAATTTTAAGAAAGTATTTTACACGAATGGCGTTAGGGAAGAAGTTTTTCCGTACTAAAAGCGTCCTAAACGTCCTAACTTGTCCTAATACCTACTGTCATAAATTACGGTATTGGCACAAAACTTCGGCATGGGTTATAGGATCGTTAGGACAGTTAGGACAGTTAGGACAAATACGAAAGTTGTAAGGCTACACTACCCATGCCAACGAGAGATATCTTATGGCTTACAGAATGCAGAATGCTACTCAAACGCCATGTATTCCCCGGGGACTTCAACGTCCACAGACCGCGCATGAGCAGGAGCGCTCTGTCGACCATGCTTGATGTCGTCCAGCAATTTTATGTAGGAATGTGCCTCTGCCTTTGCAGCTTCAATGAAGACGAGAATACTTGGATGTGGCGCACCAATGCGAGCAGCAAAATCGCGATTGTACTTCTCCAGCGGGTTATTAGTCCGATTTATCATGCTCACATTGTTGCGCCGCAAGCTACCACACTATTCTGGGAACTACTCCTGCAAACATGATATTTGGGCAAGATCTGATTACTCGCAAGCTTTATGAAGCAAATTGGAACTACTTGTGCAAGAAACGCTTTGATGCTATTCTACAAGAGAATGACCGTGCAAACTCTACCAGACTACAGCACTTCTACCAAGTAGGCGACCACGTGATTGTTCGCATTCCAGCCAAAGACAGAAAGAACAAACACCGGAATGTGGCTAACGGGCCATTCACCATCGTTGCGGTGCACGACAATGGCACTATTACCCTGGACCAAGGACCAACGCAGCAGCGAGTGAACATTCGTCGAGTGTTTCCGTGCTAATGAGCAGTCAGCATGGGGGCGAGTGACAAGGGCGTCGGCCTATGCTGACCGCCATTGCAGCTTGAGTTGAAGTTGCCCTTTATTTTCTATTCTTTCTTTCTAGGCTCTTGTCCCAGTCGGAGACAAGACACGACACAAACTAACAGAAATACCAGTCTTGAACTAGTTGGTTCCCGTTAACTTTTAAAAACCTCAATCCCAACTTTGACTCAAAATAGGTTTTATGATATGTCCTAAATTTCCGACTAAAATACCGGTTTTTAATTTTGGACAGTATTAGGATTGCAATATTTTTCCGGATTTAGAACCTTTTTAGGATACATTTTGCAATCTATGCCAGTAATTTACTACGTATTTTAGGATTTTGTAGGACAGTTAGGACAGGATTAGTACAGAAAATTCGACACCGGCGTTAGTGCACCCTTAACTACAACAACACGGCAGGCTTGGAGCACCTTTAAGCCACTTGGGCGCCCTTAACTGCAAGCGTTAGGGCGCCCTAAAGCCTTGGGCGCCCTTATCGCTAAAAATCGATAACCGTATTTTAAAAAATTGATGCGAAGTATCACCATAAGCGTTATTGTATGAAGAAACGCATTAGGGGTTAACCCCTCTAGCCCCGCTTCCTGTATTCTACAGGATAAAAAATTTCGTATCCTGTATACTACAGGATAAGGTTATTGGCAAATCGGGCTCATACTTATTCAAGTACAACTATACAAACTTCAAGTGATGCTGCCAAATATAAAGTTTGACAGTGATGTAGCTAACCTCGGGCTAATAATTCGTGGCCAGAAATTTTTAGAGATTTAGAGAGCGCGCCAATTTTCGCGCCATTCACGATTTAGACCAGGGGGAGGTAGCACCATGCAGAAGCGAAGAGTTCGGCGACTTACATGGGGACAACTGTGGACCAGACTCAAGAAGCTAGGGTGGCAATTTGAGCGACCAAAGGGGCTAGCTACCGAGAATCGCTACTTTACACCTGATGGATGGAAGAAAAGGCCAAACGTAACACACCTTGTCGACTATTTCGACGGAGCTGACGAAGTATGGCAACACGTGCCAGTTGATGGTACGAATCGGCTCATTTTGATTTTGTTATATTGTTATTAACTCATTACACAGTTATCTATGACATGCCGCCTGCCAAACGACACGCCACTACGAGCTCCCCTCTATTAATTCCACTGGGTGCCCCCGAGCCGCCAGTCAACTCTCCCGTGATTCCGCCTGCCCAGTCGCCTGCGAAGACGCCTGTCAAGTCGCCTGCGACAACACCTGCCAAGTCGTCTGCGAGGACGCCTGCCCAGTCGCCTGCGAAAACGCCTGCCAAGTCGCCTGCGACAACACCTGCCAAGTCGCCTGCGAAGACACCTGCCAAAGCACCTGCCAAGTCACCTCGGAAGACGACTACAAAGTCAGCTGAAAAGACATCTGCCAAGTCACCCACCAATACGCCAGCCAAGTCGCCGGCTAAGTCCCCCGCCCAAGCTCCTGCTAAGGGCCAGACGCCAAGAAAGAAACGTGCGCGTAAAGAGGTCGCTGCGTCTCCTATACCGTCACTACGTCCACTACGGTCGTGTACTGTTCGCGCAGCAGAAGTGGACATATCTGTTGATGATGACCGTTTAAGCTCTGGTGACGAGGACGACTTCTAAGTCGATGAAGGCGATGAGTCCGACATTGAAGGTACAAGTGAAACTTCTGCTGGTGAAGAGGAAGAAAACACCAGCGATGAGGAAGATGCAGTCGATCTCTCAGCGGGAACTCCATTCGACCAGATGAACAAGGACCAGCTGAGCGAACACGCGAAAACAGGCTGGACGACCTACTTCGAAGATTCATGTGAGTGCTTTCGTGTACTATACAGGATAACGAGTGTCCTTTGCTTCGGCTATCCTGTACTCGACACTAATACCCATATATCGTTGCTATGTAGGCGCTTCCCTTCAGCTGCCATCGGCAGAGCTTACACGCTGCTCCGCCACACCTACGGAGTTGGCTACTGCACTGGGGAGTAACTTGGAAGGATTGTTTTTCCTGTTCCTGCCTAAATCGATGTGGATGTTTATCGCTACGGAATCAAATCGGTACCAGCTTCAGTATCGAACGCAGGCAGCGGACGAAATAATGACACGACAGCGACAGCTCAAGCTGAGGCGACCTGAGTACAAGATGAAAACTGTACAGCAAGTCCAGGCTGAGCAACGATCGTTCAAGCCTATACAAGCGCATGAGCTGGTACATTTCATTAGTTTACTGTGTGCCCGAACCCTTTGCCCGCACCGTGAGAAGCTGTCGAAGCATTGGGCGGTGGATGTACAAGGCGCGGTTCCTAAAGGCACATTTGGGCGATACATGTCGCGAAAGCGATTCGAAGAGATCGTACGATTTTTGCATTTTAGCGACAACGGTCATCCTGACGCTATCAAGTTCAAGACGTGGAAGATTAAGCCTGTCGCGGACACGATCAACGCAACGTTCAAGCTGGGGATGACAGTAGGGCAACGAATCGCCTTCGACGAAGGAATGATACCGATGAGTAGCAAGTTCAACCCCATGCGGCAGTTTCTTCGAGGAAAACCTCACCCATGGGGTACTAAGTGCTTCTTGACTTGCGATGCAGAGAGCGGGTACTGCTACAGGTAATGGATCACTTAGTCTACAGAACATTGTATTATCCAGGTAGTAAGTAATTATGCTTGTGTCTTATTCTGTATAGGGCCGAGATATACCAAGGAAAGCTCAACAGTGACTGTGCAGACCTGAACCAAGGCCCCAACGCTGTGATCCGTAATGTTGAAGAGGTGCTGGAAGGACTACCAAGGAAGCGTCTGATTATCACCGACCGTTTCTACTCAAGTGTGCTGCTGTCATCTATCCTTCTACAACGTGGACTCTACCATGTCGGCACCATTCAAACGAATCAGCGAGGCTACTGTAAAGACATTCCGTACAAGCAAGCTAAACGACCAAAGACGATGGCGAGAGGGGTATACCGGATTGCACAGTCCAAGACTGAGCCGAATTTGATTGCAGTGTCATGGATGGACAACCGTCCTGTACACTTCATTGCTACGGGGTGTAGTACCCGACCGACAACCCTGTCAAGACGCGCAGGTGCTGAAGTAGTTGACGTGCCAGCTCCTCAACTCGTGAACGACTATCAAGATGGCATGGGAGGAGCAGATATTCATGACCAACTGCGCTTGCAAAGATACTCGATTCAGGTATTATTTTCTCTTTTTCTTATCCTGTATTATACATGACAATATAAACTAACGGTCGAATGTTTTCCTGTATACTACAGAGAGCGATGAAAATGAAGAAATATTACCACACAATCTTTCTTGGGTTAGTTGACATGGTGCTTACCAGCGCATACATCATCTATCGACGTATTCAAGGCAATCTTGCTCCCGGTAAAGCACCCCCGACACATGCTGAGTTTAAGCGGCTGATGCAGACTGCACTACTCAACATTGGACCGGCTGACTTTGCAGGAGACTTGTCAGTTGAAGCATTGGCAGACACTCCGATTTCCCGCTCATCAGCTCCGCGCTACACGCTACCATCACAGCACACGACTAAACAAGTGAGCGCATTTCGCACAACACGTGGAAAGAACGGGACCTACTCACAGAAGCGCCGTCAATACGGCTGCAAAGTGTGCTCGTTGCTGCGTCCGGGCAAGAACCCGTGGGAAACCACGTTTTACTGTGTGGAGTGCTCTGAAGTGAGGATGCGGAGCGTGGATGACGATAATGCCGTTGGAAGAGGGAAGGTGTATCTATGCCAAAAGGTGCGGCAACATGATCCTAGTGGACCTACATACTCGGCCACCTGCAGCCAGATATGGCACGATCTATGGCGGGGAGGAGCGACAATTCCTCCCGGTCTCAAGGCTATTCGGCTGCGTGCTCCTACTAGAGCAGGTGCGCAACGTATAGACGACGAGCTGGAAGGTGACAGTTGTTGCGATGACGGTTCCAGCGTAGGGTCGGGAAATTCACGAAGCACAGCGAGCGCTACGAATGCAGGACGTTCTGCAGAGAATATTTGTGAAGTAGTACAGACAGCAGTGATTTAATCAATCCTATGAGTAATCAAATATGGAATGAATGCAAACTCTTTGTGAGTGATGGTTTTTGTTGATATTTAGAAATTTTCCCTGTAGCCGATTTGTGCGATACAGGATATAGTGCCATATGTTAGAACCACCATTTTAACTCTTACCCTGTACTGCACAGAGTAGATAACTGACAGAGATTGTGAGCTTGGAAAAACTCCGCAAATAATAAACCTAAGTCATTTTCTTACCCTGTAGAATACAGGGTAATTTCCGCCCGAAAACGCGGGGCTAGAGGGGTTAACACATAAGAAGAAGAAGACGAAAAGCACAAGTAGAAAAGGGAAAGCGATATATATATATTTATTGTTTAACTAAACCACGAATGGATACAAGATTATTGTGGAAGCAGCATCTT